ACTGCCCTAATGCCAAATCACATAGACTGTGATTTAATTAAAGAAATCCATATGCATTGTGTTTCAAATTTAAGCACGGTGTTCTTTTACACGAAAGCAGCTCCATAATCCAGTGATTTCAGCATCTCAGAGTGGCTTGGTTTACACTGAGAACTTTACAGTAAATTCTCTTTACAGTAAATTCTGCATCTTCCTGTCTGCATCTACTCTGATTCTGGTTCACTTATACCGTGTCATTTGGGAACACAACATGGACCATCTTTCCCAACTCACAACGAGGAGCGCTTATGAACTGTCTGTTGTCAACAAAAGAGAAGCTTTAAGTGCTCTCTGCAGTTTTCCTCCAAAATAAAATCTCAGCAGTTTAACATTTTAAAAATGGAGAAATCAAGACACCCATGAATATTGTTGTCATTTTTATGTGTGCTGTAAAATACAATTATTATTATTCTTTTATACTTATACTATTTTTATTTTACGGTGAAATTACAACAGTAATATTTCCTATTTTGTTTATTATTTAGTAAAATTCTTCTTTTTTTATAGTCATATTGATATATAATTAAAGAGTTTGTCAAATTGTCCGGCCCTTCAAACAACCCCAGCAAACCTTGAAAAAAAAATATTGTATTTAAGTTGCAGTTGCAGCTTTTACCAGAAAATAATGAATAAGTAATAAAGTAATAGGTAATGAATCCTTTTTAAAGGCGTCCTATGATCTTATGATCTTTTACAAAGTCGTGATTTTGTTTTGGGGGTGTACTTGAACATGCTCTCATGCTTGGTGGTTCAAAAAACGCATTATTTTTCACATAATTTACATTATTAAAATACCTTTCTCCCCATCCTAGCACAAACGGCTCGATTAGTTCCGGGTTTGATGAAGGGCCATCTTCCGAAAAACAAAATGTGTTGTGATTGGTTGGCTATCCCAGTGCGTTGTGATTGGTGAACAGCTTGGACGGTGTTTCAGTACTGCCCCGCCCCTTGCCAAAGCAGCAAGTTCTGTCTGCTCCAGTATAGTTAAGGATGGCGTCAATATTGCCATATCAATTTGAGCCAGTGTTGTGCCCATTTTCGACTCCCTGCCAAATTATTACCCCCCTCGTTGAAATCGATACCTGATTGCCTAATCCTAACCCCTCCCCCACACCTAACCCTAAACCTACCAATACTAGGGGGGTAATATAGCGGGGGTCAGAATTGGGCACAACACCGGATTCAGACCCTGAGAATATTGAACAAGAGGATCGCGCAGAACCTTTGCACGCACGGATATTGCAAGACAGACATATTATAAATCACGTTTTAGATACGATGTCAACAACCGCTTAAAAATTGCAAAAAAAAGTGCATTTACTATGTACAGATAAGTGCAACGGTAATATGTATTTTGTTTATTGTTCTTTAATTCTAACTTTATAAAATGAATTGCAGTGAAACTGTTATACAGTTGAATTTATTTATACCGTAGTCTCATAATTGAAGTGTAAATTCTGCAGATTACATCATTTTCCAGTATTGTACTGTCAGCAATTTATGAAAAAGAAAGTGTGACGACATGGCGAAAACTTGACACTACAGCAGCAGCTCCTCCTCTTCTTCGTTTTCTCTGGTGCATAAACTCTGCAGCAGCACTTCTTCGTCGTCGTCGTCTTGTCTGATGCACCCAACCAAGTGTTCTAACCACGACCTCGCCCCTCCCCACCCCCCCACCATTCGAGTTTCGTAGGTGGGAATTATTTTAATGATATACTAATGGGCCGCTTTGTGACATCACAATACTCCGGAAAACAACGCTGTAGTCCAAACGAGCCGTTTGTTGTAGTTCTTGAAAAGGGATTTTTTTTTAAATGAAATATCTCCATTTGAAGTGGACTTTGAGATTTGTAACTTTCTAGATCTTTTATGCCCAAACATACACACTGACTAATTCAAAAAGTGAAAAAGCATAGTAAGACCCCTTTAAACATCTAACAATAGATCATTTAATTAATCAGTAATTTAATCAGTAGTTTAATACCAGATAATAAGAATAAGGTTTATGACTATAATGCCAAATAACTGTAAGTTCTAAAAAGCATTATCATTGGGGAAATCAAATCGTATCCCATTTTGCTGCTGTACTCTAAAACACTGTCTCAATCATTTCCTTTGAACTCTGCAGTCCACCACGGCCCAAGAGAGTGCCAGCAGACTCGCTGAGAGACTCTAGGTCACTCAGTTACTATTTGAAGTGGACTTTGAGATTTGTAACTTTCTAGATCTTTTATGCCCAAACATGCACACTGACTAATTCAAAAAGTGAAAAAGCATAGTAAGACCCCTTTAAACATCTAACAATAGATCATTTAATTAATCAGTAATTTAATCAGTAGTTTAATACCAGATAATAAGAATAAGGTTTATGACTATAATGCCAAATAACTGTAAGTTCTAAAAAGCATTATCATTGGGGAAATCAAATCGTATCCCATTTTGCTGCTGTACTCTAAAACACTGTCTCAATCATTTCCTTTGAACTCTGCAGTCCACCACGGCCCAAGAGAGTGCCAGCAGACTCGCTGAGAGACTCTAGGTCACTCAGTTACTCCCCTCCAGCAAGGCAACGAAGACCTGCACATTCTCTACCCTCTCGACGGTCAGTTCTGAACAGATCTACGTATTTTTACTATAACTTTCAACTCGCTGTTCTTGCTAATATTGATCTTAATCTCCGTTTTCCATCAGCAGTGCAAGCAGGAAGTCGAGAAGCAGATCTCCAGACAGTCGACGGAGGAAATAAGTGAAACCTTTTTTGTTTCCTGACCCTCACTGGACTGAATCATCTCAGTATCACATGGATGAGACTAAAAATGTGACTAGTTGTAATGGTGATATTTTCACCATTAGTAAAGGAAGGTCTCTTAAAAATATGGTTCTTTGTAACTCATCCCAAAAGGGAAGATTTATTATTACTTTTATTATGATATCATTAATGTTTAAAGAGAAGCCAGCTGAGACACTGAAGCTCAACAACTATTGCTCTGTGCCAACAGATGCTGGACGCTATTTGTATACACACACATTCACACACACACAAACAAAACTATAACACATGTCCAGTGGTTTTCTGTCCGCTACATTGTTCTGAATGTAGATGAATGTCTGTAATTTGGTGATCAGAATGGACTATATTCTTTTCCTGCATATGTAAACGGAGTCTGTTCCTTTTTGTTTATTTGTGGGAAAAAATAATTATGAATAATAAAATGGCAGTAGAATCTTGTCTGAATATTTAGTTTGTGGTGCTGAAGGAGAAGCTGATGCTAAATACACTGCACACTGGAAACTACATTCACAGAGGTTACTATATTCTTTAAAACTGAAGTAATTTTTAAATGGGGTGGGGAGGGGGATACTTTTTTCCTCATTGGTCAGATAAATGGGTGGTATATATGTATAGTATACAGGGTGAGATTTGTGAAAAAACGGGTGCTTTTTTCTCTCCATAGGTGGAAGGTAAGGGTAGTAAGGCTATATCTTAAGTAACCTAATGGTACTGTAATCTGTTAATCACGCACATCATAAACCCGTCTTTTTAGGCAAGTGCTAAACAATGGGTGTAATGGCATGAAATGTTTTTAATACGACGGAAAGTGTATTTAACGTTATCACAATCTATTAAAAACATTGTAAGTTAGGCCAGTTAATTGTAATTTCATTTCCAAGGTTATTCAATCAACGGATACAGAGAAAACGAACAAAGAACACCGTATCAACGGAGCTTTTTGAAACTGAATCAGTTAAACCATTGAGTCGCAAAATGATTTGACGGTTTCGAACCGCTTCAATCGGATCGCGAATCACGGGACTTCAGAGCGCGTATCGCAAATCATTTGATTTAGATCAGGATCTAAATCCCCATTATATAAAAAAATATATAATGTATCATATACATACGTTTTTTACACACTTTTTTTTTGTTGAAAATTAACCCACCAGTAGCATTATTAGATTTGCTTATGGCCTGTAGTTCAGATGTTATTTTAAACAGATCGAAGAAATATTTTAACAGTGAAAAATTACTTTAGCTTAAATTAAAGCTATATATTTAAAACCTACTTTCATAAAAAAAAATATTTCGAAAGATTATTATATTTTTTGCCATATTCATGTATAGTTTTACAGTCGCAACACCTCAAATGACTAAGATAAAGTGGCGGAACCCAGTTAACGGTACCACGGTCACTGTTGTAGCGGGCTGGTCTGTGGAGGCAGGTTGAATGATGCGTCATATTTACGCGACGCTGTTTTAAGGAGCGGCGCTTTGTATGGAAATCGACCGAGGATTTGTCAAGTTAAATTAACAGCTTAATAAACTCCAGGAACATGGGTCCAGTTGAGGTAAATAATACGATCAGCAGTTTGCCAAAACACACATTGTAGGTACACTAACAGTTGCTTTTGTTTTTGAGGGGGCAAATGGCACGCAAAAGCGGTCACTATTTTGTGCAAAGGCTGTTTGCTGCACTGAAAAAAAAATGTATATATCATTTAATTATGTAAATATAATGTCACTTATTTTAATTATTATTTTTTTATTTTTTTACTTGGCCCCCTAGTGGGCTGTAGGTTCAGCTTTGTAAATAGATAAATTGCAGCACAGTAGGATCCCCTTAATATTTCTCCCCTTGTTTGCTCTGTAGTCTGTACTGAAGGGCCACACTGACTACATCCACTGCCTGTGCTTTAAAGAAAGGGAAGAGGAGATTCTCTCTGGTGGGGAGGATGGTGCCGTGAGGATATGGGGTCAGTGAATGACACTGCACTGTTTCTCTTTCCTTTACTCTTTGAGATACATTTTGTAATAAAAGTATATACTTCCTCCACCAGACTCACGGACAAATCGCCCAGTTCACTGTATTGAAGTTTTCAAATACGAGGTAAAACACTCCTGTACTTATGATAAAAATAAACAAAAAAGCTAAAACAATGCATTCATGCCTCAAAGAGAAAAAATACAGCACTGAAATTCCACTCTCTCACTTTCAAACTGGCTCTGGAATGGCGAGTCAGGAATGCGCACGCCCCCAGTTTGGGAAGTGGATTAGCTGTCTTGCTACGGACTCTGATTGGATGGTAAGGTGGACTTGTAGTTAGCAGGGACAGTGAAGCTATTGTCTTTATTTGTTCTGGTTTATCTCGTGTTTTCTGAATAAGCATTGACATGCTTTATTTTAAATACCTCAGTTACTATTTGCATGGTTGTAATGGACTACTGCTCGTCTGGAATGCCCCTCTATGTATGTTAAGATGGAATGGCATAATGCCCCTATTGTTATAAAATGTTATCCATTTCCTCTCCAGCTCTGTGGTGGAGGCCCATCACTCTCATTATGGCACCTCCGTTCCATGTCCCCCACCTCTGTCTTCCCTTTGCCTGGCTGTCAAAGGGAAGCTGTCTTTCACCAGGACCTGGTGAGAAGGAGTAGTTGTCAATTTAATGTGACAGAAAAACAAAAAGGCACCATTTATATTGTTATATATAATTATAGTTATTTTTTATAATATATTATGTTGTGGTTGTGCTTAGATCATGTCAGTAGGTGAGGGTCCGCATGTGTCCCACTGTTTACATGGAGGGACAGTGAAAGCTCAGATTCCCTGCACTCCTTCCTCACTCAACACACTGGCTCTGAATCTCAAAAACACTGAACATAGGGTAGGTGCACCTGTTATACTCCATGCCAGATTTTTTTTTTTACTTTAACAGATGCTACAAATTGCAGCAATATCTATAAAAATGTATCTTCATTGACTATGTGTGTGGAAAGTGAAGACTTGTGAACAGAATAATTGTATTTACCCAATTTTTCCCCTTTACCCAATATTCATCTTTCAGGTTATGACAGTAGGGGGCAGCAGTCACCAGATTGATGTGTTCACCAACTTCAGTTACAGGGCCTTTTCTCTGTCATTTTGAGCACGCCAACATTTGTCTGTCTTTTACCAGGACCTGGTGAGAAGGAGTAGTTGTCAATTTAATGTGACAGAAAAACAAAAAGGCACCATTTATATTGTTATATATAATTATAGTTATTTTTTTATAATATATTATGTTGTGGTTGTGCTTAGATCATGTCAGTAGGTGAGGGTCCGCATGTGTCCCACTGTTTACATGGAGGGACAGTGAAAGCTCAGATTCCCTGCACTCCTTCCTCACTCAACACACTGGCTCTGAATCTCAAAAACACTGAACATAGGGTAGGTGCACCTGTTATACTCCATGCCAGATTTTTTTTTTTACTTTAACAGATGCTACAAATTGCAGCAATATCTATAAAAATGTATCTTCATTGACTATGTGTGTGGAAAGTGAAGACTTGTGAACAGAATAATTGTATTTACCCAATTTTTCCCCTTTACCCAATATTCATCTTTCAGGTTATGACAGTAGGGGGCAGCAGTCACCAGATTGATGTGTTCACCAACTTCAGTTACAGGGCCTTTTCTCTGTCATTTTGAGCACGCCAACATTTGTTTGAATTTGAATTGAAATCTGTGGCAAATTCTCGAATTATGATTTGCTATAATGCAATTCATGTATTTTTACAATAAACTTTTTTTGGTTATTGTTCGCTGTTTTTTTCAATGTGTGTTTTTAGCTTTACATTTGAATCATGCATTGAACCCTGAAAAGGCCTTTTAAGGTGTACTTGGTCGTTTTTTGTGTAACACTATAGTAAAACACACAAATAATAGTATTACACGTTTATTTTTTTTCATGAAAATATACAAAAGGTATATTAGATTTACAGCGTTAAATAATGTTTCTAAACTATATTATCTCAATCTGAGAAAATGGTCAAAACATCTGTTACAGAAATGCGGTATTCAGTTGGTCACGTGGTCAAAATATTTCCACATGAAAAAATGCATTTTATGAGGCTGCTGATACAACTGGCATCTTAATTTCATGTATGTGCTAATCATTTTAAACATATTTATCAAAAACAAAATTAATTTCTTTACATGTAAAACTTTTTTTTAATTTACAATTAGTGAGTTCATTTTTAAACATTTGAGGATAAGAGTTCGGTAAAGTTGGCAAGATATGGATATATTACCTTCATTGTTATTGGACAAAATAGTCAATAGCTTCACTGTAACTGTAACACACTGTACTTTCTCCAAATTCAGTTCACACATCGCTGCTCTCCTGCTGGTTATACTACAACACTTATTTTGATAATAATTGCTTTTGCATATTTTTTAATGATTTTTTTTATGGAAAATAGTCAATAACTTCACTGTAACATACTGTACTTTCTCCAAATTAAGTTCACACATCGCTGCTCTCCTGCTGGTTATACTACAACACTTATTTTGATAATAATTGCTTTTGCATATTTTTTAATGATTTTTTTTATGGAAAATAGTCAATAACTTCACTGTAACATACTGTACTTTCTCCAAATTAAGTTCACACATCGCTGCTCTCCTGCTGGTTATACTACAACACTTATTTTGATAATAATTGCTTTTGCATATTTTTTAATGATTTTTTTTATGGAAAATAGTCAATAACTTCACTGTAACATACTGTACTTTCTCCAAATTAAGTTCACACATCGCTGCTCTCCTGCTGGTTATACTACAACACTTATTTAGAAAATAAATAAGGTCTTCACCGTTAAATTAACTGTTTTATGAATGCCACTGTTATACAGTATAATACTATCAACTTTATTTAACACACGCATGTAACTTTGCTGGTTATAGTACAACCTTTGCACTTTGACATTTTAACATTTTTAGAAAGCACAGTGTGTTACAGTTAAGTTATTGACTATTTTGTCCAATAACAGTGAATTTATTGATTTTTTTTTTTTAAATCATTCAAAAGCAAAATTGTCAAAATAAGTGTTGTAGTAAAACCAGCAGGAGAGCAGTGATGTGTGAACTGAATTTAGAGAAAGTACAGTGTCACAGTGGAGTTATTGACTATTTTTCATCATAAAAAATGTGTAAAAGCTATTATTTTCAAAATAAGTGTTGTAGTATAACCAGCAGGAGAGCAGTGATGTGTAAACTGAATTTGGTGACACTACAGTGTGTTACAGTGAAGTTATTGAGTATACATGTAACTTTGCTGGTTATAGTACAACCTTTGCACTTTGACATTTTAACATTTTTAGAAAGCACAGTGTGTTACAGTTAAGTTATTGACTATTTTGTCCAATAACAGTGAATTTATTGATTTTTTTTTTAAATCATTCAAAAGCAAAATTGTCAAAATAAGTGTTGTAGTAAAACCAGCAGGAGAGCAGTGATGTGTGAACTGAATTTAGAGAAAGTACAGTGTCACAGTGGAGTTATTGACTATTTTTCATCATAAAAAATGTGTAAAAGCTATTATTTTCTAAATAAGTGTTGTAGTATAACCAGCAGGAGAGCAGTGATGTGTAAACTGAATTTGGTGACACTACAGTGTGTTACAGTGAAGTTATTGAGTATTTTATTAATAACATTGTTCGCGTTTCGCACTTTGCAGACGGTCCCTTCGGACTTGTCTCTCAGACGCCAGCGCATTGAGATCACTGTATTTTTTACAGAGCACAGGAAAGCTTGTTTTGAGGACAAGTCGCTTGTAGCTCGTTTTCTACATCACTACGAAAGAAAAGGGGCGTCAATTGAGTTGTAAAAACATTTTGCTGGCGAGTTATTGATCCGGAAAAGACGAATCTGTGAATATCTTACCAACTTGACCGAACTGAGGATAAGTTTACGCTATTTTAGATTCAAAATAAGACTAAGTCTCAGAACATTTTGGGCTGCCAACATATACAACATTTTTTATATCGCGAATCAACGTATTATGGCCAAAAATGCTGTTTCTGTAGGCAAGCTTATCAGTTGGTCTGTTGAAACAGAATAGCGATGGCAATCTCAGCAGCAACAGGAGTGGCATGAGGAGGAGGAGACAGAAACTCCGGCACATGATGAGGATGAGAGTGACTCAACATTCAGGTGCGTCGCCCTCAGATGGACGGACCTGATCTCTGCGGCCGCTGGGACACTGTCCGAACTTCCCCTTACACTGGATTCCCGGATCCCGGTACTGCCTGCAGGACTAACCGGACTCTGACCTACCACCCTAGCAGGAACTTGCCATAAGTCTTCAGTCATTTTCCCCAGCGTGCTCGGAATATGTGGTTTAAAGTGTTTTCGGTGAGCTCTTCTTTAGATCCGAGTTAGATCTTATTATCTTAGAGCATCTGCGGCTAGTTAAGTAGCTAGCCTAGCTGCATTTCAAAACAACTGAATAAATTACAATAGAGGAGTTGTCGAGTTGAGTAATGGACACAAGTTTGATCAAGCGGTTCAGACTGAACTTAAGAAGCAGATCAAGGCGAGAGTTCAACTTGAGGTTTGGTAGGACTGCATGTTTTTACAGGTGTGTCCGTTAAATCGCTCTGAGATTCTATGGATACTGCGCGTGACCGTTTGATTTTCATATTATAAAGACGCAAGGTCGCTTATCTCAGAAGGACCGTCTGTTTATGACAATCTTATACAATAAAGTGGTTCTGTCTCTACGAATGATTCTCCTTTAATGTTATTTTCCCTTGAATTGACTGTTAAATCGAGTTGTACCACACAGTTAGAGCGCCAAATAGTTTCGCTTTTAATTTGGGCATGTTTGTATTCAGGAATTTAAGTTAGCTGTGCTGGCACCGAAAAAGATGTTCTCTTGCCTGATTAGCGGACCTCAGCCTAGGTGTGTCAGTTTCACTTCTCTTACACATTTGTTTGTGTTAAAATGATCACATGTGTCTGGAGGACGTTAGTGTTTAACCTGCTGCCTCGTTTTAGACCAGAACTGTTGTGTTTGAATGAGAAACATGTGCCCTCCTCGCAACGGCAGCTCAGGAAAAACACGTCCCTTCCTGTTTTCATGGAACATTTTTGGCAGTTTACTGAATCTCCAGCTTTGTCTTGATTCAGCAGCTAGTTGCTTGTGGGCTTCTAATGATTCTGTCCACGGTTTTGGTTTCAGTTGTAAGGTGCAAGATGTGTGTGGCCATTTATTCTGATCTCTGTACGTAAACTCAAGCGTAAAGCTGGTGCATGTGGGTTCGACCTGTGTCAGAAAGTGTGTCATTTGTCTGTCAGAGTGGGAGAAGCTACATTTAGTGCCACAGCTGCTGTTCTGGGTAAAGGGGGGATATATGTCTAAGTTTGAACAAGATGCATAATACCTGTCGCTTCCTCTTTTTTTTCAGGATTAGAGGACCGACAGGGACTTTTCTCACTTCCGGCTTGAAGCTACATTCCTACAGTGTTTTGGAGTTGCAGTGATCTTTCAAAGTGTGGGAAGCTACCAGTCTCTGCATGCATCGGTGGAATTGTTGTGACTGAGATGTCATCTATATATCTAGGAAATCAAGATTTGGAGACGAAACCACTTGGATCTCAAACAAATTGCCCTGTTTTCCGGATAACTTGATTCCTTTTCTCTTGTAAACTCAAGCGTAAAGCTGGTGCATGTGGGTTCGACCTGTGTCAGAAAGGGTGTCATTTGTCTGTCAGAGTGGGAGAAGCTACATTTAGTGCCACAGCTGCTGTTCTGGGTAAAGGGGGGATATATGTCTAAGTTTGAACAAGATGCATAATACCTGTCGCTTCCTCTTTTTTTTCAGGATTAGAGGACCGACAGGGACTTTTCTCACTTCCGGCTTGAAGCTACATTCCTACAGTGTTTTGGAGTTGCAGTGATCTTTCAAAGTGTGGGAAGCTACCAGTCTCTGCATGCATCGGTGGAATTGTTGTGACTGAGATGTCATCTATATATCTAGGAAATCAAGATTTGGAGACGAAACCACTTGGATCTCAAACAAATTGCCCTGTTTTCCGGATAACTTGATTCCTTTTCTCTGGATTATGAGCATCGTCAGCAATTAAATAACCGTTCACTTTGTAATCGGAGTCATCTGATACTTAACCACAACAATGTGGTAATGTGTTTGCACTTGAGGGCGAGGCGACGAAGAGGAAATTCTACGTAGATTTTAACTGTAGATCCCTAATGGGGACAAAAGCAATGGAAATATCACTGGAAATTTAAAGTGTTTAAGATGAGCTAAGAATATTGCACTGAGAGCGCCAACGTGTTACAGACAATGCAAAATCACTGATTCGTGAATTGGAATGCACTGAAATCGAACTGATGCATCATTTTGTGCTTGAATTTTGAGGAAAACTGGAAAGACGATCACATGATGCTCACAGTATTTCACACAAAACCCTCCGCACTAAATGACCAGTTACTTTAAGACACAGGAAAATTGACAGAGGACTTGAAAGCTGTTAAACTTGTTTCATGAGGACACATTTTGAACAGAGGAATGGCAGGAAAAGACTACCATCATCTCTTCAAGTTGCTCATCATTGGTGACTCCAGTCAGTATTTTTCTGTTTTTAATACATATGCTAACAAATCATGTCTTCTTACTGATTCAAATTTTTTTTTGCTTAAGTCCCCATAAGAGAATCATTAATATATGGCATAAAATAAGGGATTAAGCCTAATTATTTCTCTTAGCACCCTGTCCAATAAGAATTCTCAAGATGTTGCTGCATTTACTGAAACATTGTTGTGCAGTTTCACAATTTAGCTGCAAACTGGAAAGCTGAAATGAAACTACTTTGTGTAAGCGTGTAATGTGAGTCACTTGATCAGTTCACCAGTATGCACTTGGGTGGGATGCGTACCGTGATGAATGTTGGGTCAATGTTTTTGTCTGTGAAACTAGTTTTTCCTAGAATGATTGGAGAATTTTGTAATTTCACTGGAAGATCCAGTTATGACGTTTTGATTAAACATTACAAAGTCAAAAACAGAAAAAAATAAAACGCATAAATGGATGAATTGTTCATAGTAAGATCAATAACATGCATTTTAAAAAAACAAATAGGGTGAATTTCCAATTTCATGCCTTCTTTAACAATCTTATTTATACATCCCAATTTCATATTATAGAACCCTTTGCTTGTAAGCAAATATCAGTGATGCTATCTCACAGTTCATCGTGTTTGTAATTTAACTGTGGTATTAAGTTAACCACAGCTGCCTCATTTAGTCCATTGTGGCCACTCTATAACTGTTCAGATAGTGGCATTTGTCTCTGTAAAGACTGTGGGCTTTGGGTAGGATTCTGGTTGTTTTTTAACCTTAGACCTCTGAGTATTGTGGCATTTGTGACAAAAGAACATGTTAAGATTAAGTTGCATGGTATAGATGGACTATATGAGATATTTCCTAGAGCTATTATATTACATGCACTATGCTGTTGCACTTATTTTTATTTATTGTAGGGATGTTTTTACATTTTATTTAAAGTTCACGTTCTATTTTTATGTATTCAAGGTTAACTGTTAATATAAATAATATCTAATTATTATTATAATCTTGTTTTATAAAAGAAATACTATCATGTTTAATTAATAAAAACATATATGTACTGAACATTAAACAAATGCTGCTCTGACTCTGTTGCAGATGTTGGGAAAAGCAGCTTGCTCCTACGATTCGCAGACAACTCATTTTCTGGTGAGACAAAGTGTGTGTTTGTTTGTGTGAGAAAGACTAAGGCAAAGGGTCTGTAAATATATGCTCTAATTCACTGTGTTCTCCAGTCCAAGACAGAGCAAAGCAAGACAAAATGAGAGTGTTTGTTTGCTTAAAAGTGTGAAAGAAGTTCAAATGTTATAACTAGTTATAAAAACATGCTTCTGCACTCTTCACAGGCAGTTACATAACTACTATTGGAGTTGACTTCAAGATCCGCACAGTAGAGATTGATGGAGAAAGAGTTAAACTCCAGATCTGGGACACTGCAGGGCAGGAAAGGTTCAGAACCATCACCTCTACGTAAGCCTCGCTCCAGTCTAACTGTTTATTAAAGATTTAGTTTGACCGTTCTTGTGATCTCTGTCAGTCTTCCCCTCACATGTTTTTTTTGTAATTCTCTAGGTATTACAGAAACACTCATGGTGTCATCATTGTTTACGATGTCACAAATCCTGAATCGTTTGTCAACGTGAAAAGATGGTTAAACGAGATATCACAGAACTGTGACAACGTCTGCAAAATTTTAGGTTCGTTTGTTTTTTGTTGTTTTTTTTTTTACATTTTATTTCAGTTGCATTGTGATATGAAAAGATGTTTTGGTTGTATATCATGAGTTTGTTGTAGTATCAAAGGTGAACATTTAATATTCCTTTCCACTTTGATCCCTAACAGTCGGAAACAAGAATGATGATCCTTCTAAAAAGCTTATGGACACTCAAGATGCTCTGCGGTTTGGAGAGTCAGTTGGTGTGAGGTTGTTTGAGACAAGTGCTAAAGAGAATATCAATGTAGAGGAGGTGAGGTGTTTTTGTTTTTTGCTGGGATATGTATTCAGAGAATTTGCAATTTAATGCATGCATCGGTTAAACAGGCAAAATGGAATTGTTGTGACTGAGATGCCATCTATATATCTAGGAAATCAAGATTTGGAGACAAAACAACTTGGATCTCAAACCAATTTTTTTTGTTAATTTAAACTCAAATTCAAATTCACTCAAAATCCTCATTAAGTTTCTTCTTTTAAGCCCAAATTCATTCAAAAATCCTCTATTTAAGTCTATTTAAACCCAAATTAATGTAAAATTCCTCAGTATTTAAGCTTGTTCTTTTAAACCCACATCAATTTAAAGATCCTCAATATTTAAGTTCATTTCTGCTCAAATTCATTAATAATCATACATATTTTATTTTAATGTTGACTTGAATGGAATAATAGACCAGTGTTTCCCAACCTTTTTTTAGTCGCGGCACCCTTTGGAAATTTTAACAAACTTGTGGCACCCTACAAAATTAATTTTGTCACAATATTTGAATTTCTAACTTTGATATGATCATTTGAAAAGTATAGATATTCGGTACAACAGGGAAGAGCTGCAGAATATAATGTCATACAGATATTTTTAATATTATAAAAAAAAATTGTCCATCAATGGTGGCAATCAGTAGGCTAATTTCTAATGAAGAGACCAATTTATATGACAGATTTTAATCTTATTCAGAAAATACATTTTGTCTGTCTGTCCACTCTGATGTGTTAAAAGTAACATGTATAATTTTATATGGCTTGTATTCTGTTCTGTTTGCAGATGTTCATGGCTTTCACCCACATGGTCCTTCGGGCCAAGAAACAGAGCCAGAGTCGAGCAGAACGAGAGAGGGAGAGAGAAAAGGACACGGTCCATATAAATTCCCACAGGGACAGAGAAAGGAGGAAGAAAGGGAAGAAATGCTGTTAGAGCAGAGGTGTTAGAACAGACGGAAAGAGGGACAAATCAAACACCTTTGCAACTTTGTTCCTTTGGGTCAAGTTTTCAGCTCAGAAATGTGACTTTTTCATGATAACACTGCGCTTAAGATAAAACCAAGAGGAATAAAAATAACTTGCTATTATGTGCCGAACATCAGCGTTTGTTTACACCGATGTTTATCAATGTAAGGTGGGGTTTTTTTTTTTTTTTACAAAAGGGTTATTGACTGCCATGGATTTACACTGGCATCAAAAGCCTGGTCCAGGAAAGACACTATACACAAACTGTCTTATGTGTTCCACTGTGATTTAGTGAGAGATGTTTCTTGTTGGATTAAAATTGACTTGATATATGTCATTAATGTATGCAAATAATAGCAATAAAATATGATTTTAAAAAATGGCAAACGCCGCAACAGTGTTCATTTCTAACATCTTGCAGTTGTGAAAGAGGCATGTCTGTGAGTGACTACTGCTGGATTTGCTTGACTGAATGCGCGCTGTCAATACACGTGTTTTTCAACGAGAATTGTTCCTAAAATAGTGAAAGTTAAATTATTTCATTTGACCGCTGAGTCATGTTTAAGACTAATCTTGAATCCCTGAAATTCATATCTGTCAGTCAGCTCTGTCTGTATGTCAGCTGACCGATGTTTTGGGATGGTGGCCAGTGTTGCCAAGTCCACGGTTTTCCCACGGAATTGGGCTACTTTATTAACACTGTTGCCGCGGGTTGTTTTTCATGTCCGCGGGTTGAAGCGACCCCAATAATGTGATATTTAGACCCTAAAATGTGCATTTTACCCCACAAAAAAACGTGTATTTTACCCCACCGGAATGCGATTTTTACCGGGGTTTCCCCTGTATGGGCTAGTTTTGAGTAGCAATTGGGCGGGGTTTGTTGTGAAAACCTGGCAACCCTGATGGTGACCTCACAGCGAACATGGCTGCCGAGAGCGAGTGAGTATTGGGCTGCTGGTAAATACTGTCAGAAACGTGCAATAGTAGTTTGGTATATGAACTGAAAATATTTCATTTGTAATTCTTAACGTAAATTATTTGAATTATAGAGCAAAATTGGTTACGAAATGGGAGAGCTGTCATAGGTGACTATAAATAGAATAAATAATACATACGTCTAACACAACTGGAAAAATCATTTGGTCCGAGGCTAACGTAAAGGAATTCATAGTTAAGCTGCTCTAACTTAACCGGTAGTCATAGGCGTTAGATTGCCAGTATCCAAGTAAACAAATGGCCAAGGACGTTACTGCAATTGTTTTATTAAACGTGTCTTTGGCCCTTTGTGTCTGGTCATTTCATGTGCCATACTCGTGTTAATGTTACAGTAAACTAGTTCTACACGAAATTCAACTCGCATCTTTTTTGACACCGCAGTGTCCTGTCTGAAATTGAAGTGCTGCAGTCCATCTACTTGGATGAGCTCAGTGTTAATCAGAGAGATGAGGGGTAAATATTTCAGCGTTTATTGCCATTTTAGTTTTTCATAAATTGCTTGAGATAATAATTCAGTATAATTAACCTGTACAAAAATAAATCTGTCAAATCTGTCTCGATTAGAGGACGGACAGTCCGTCTGGTGCTCTATCCCTGCACTGCGGAGGACTGTCTCTCTCAGTTTGTCCGTCTTACATTGACAATGGATCTGGACTCTCAGGTTTGTTGATAAAGTTGCTATAATATTTGACTATGGTACATACCACTTCTTTACTTGCAATTTTGTTTCACTGCTGGTCTTCTGAGAGTGTTTTATATTCACTTCCAGTACCCATATTCATCTCCTTGCATCTCTATTCACAATCCACGGGGACTCTCAGATGATAAACTGCTCAGGTGTTTGATTATTATTAGAAATTATTTAAAAAATTTAGAATGTCCTGTTTAGATTTAAACTTTTTTTCTTTGTCTTCACATGCTTCTTTTTTTTCTCAGTTTACAGAGGAGTTTGCTGATAGAGGCAGAGTCATGTATTGGGACACCTGTACTGTACCAGCTCATAGAGGTTTGGAGTCCTTATTTAGTCAAAAAATACACTACTGCTCAGAGGTTTGCCGACAATATGTTTTTGTTTTGTTTTTGTTTTTTAAATAAATTACTTTTATTCATGCAATTTAATGTATAATGTTACAAAAGGTGTCTATTTCAAATAAATGCTGAAACTTTTGAAGAATCTTGAAAAAATATGTATCATGGTTTCCACAAAAACATTAAGCAGCAAACCTGTTTTCAACACTGATAATAGTAAGAAATGTTTCTTGAGCAGCAAATAAGCATGTTAAAAGTAATGGCTGTTTAAAATTCAACATTGCCATCACAGGAATAATTTACATTTTAAAATATATTACATTAGAAAACTGTTATTTTAAATTAATAATATTTCACAATATTACTGATTTACTGCCATTTATGATGAATGCAGCCTTGGTGAGCATTAGAAACTTTATTGAAAAACATCTTCAAATGAAATCTTACCAACCACAAACTATTGAACGGTAGTGTATGTGCCTACTAACATGTGTTTGTCTCAAACCATTTCTCTATATCATCCTCACAGAGAGCCAAAGAGATCCTAACTGAGAGCAATATTCCCCATGGAAACTGTGTCATCTGTCTGTATGGCTTTAAGGTTTGGTATTTTAATTGGAATATGAACTTAGTCTGGTCTGTGGCCTGTTTGTAAAAATTGTAAATATTCTTGTGCTTGTTCCTCTTCCTCTGTTTTGGCCTAACCATAGGAGGGGGAAGTGTTTACTAAGACCAGCTGCTATCACTATTTCCATTCTCACTGTCTTGGCCGCTACATCACCCACTCTGAGATGGAGCTGAAGGACCGTGAGAGGGAGCTGGAGGAGGATAAAACCAGAGACAGGACAGAAGAAGAGGTGGGGCTTCGTTTTTTGTATACTTTCATATGTTTTCCTTACTTCAAGCAAAATGCTACTCATTTGGTATTAAATCAATTCCAGTCAACAATTTTGTGTAATACATTGTTATTACTAAATAATTTACTTCAGTGTTACTGTGAATGCATAACTAATTGCAGTCCATAAAAAGGCAGTGAGGTGTGCTTGAATAAAGGGAAGTGGTTTTTGATATATTAGGTGTTTTTTGTTTCATTAACAGGACTTTGCTGTTGTTTGCCCCGTGTGTCGAGAGCCTCTCACCTATGATTTGGATGCCCTCCTTTCCTCTCCTGATCCAGTTTTCACACAGGTAAGACATTCAGACACACTGTATCATTCTTTGTGGATACAGTGTTAGCAGTTGGGTCAAACTAAACTGGCCAGACGTTTATCATTGTTTGAAATGTCAAATGGACAATGTCACCCTTGTGTTCAGTGCCAAGCAGTAGATTTTTTTTAAAACACCCTTGTGTTCAGTGCCAAGCAGTAGATTTTTTTAAAAACACCCTTGTGTTCAGTGCCAAGCAGTAGATTTTTTTAAAACAGTGCGTCATTGTCCCGTCTCTCTTGTTAGCTGACTATGCCAGGATGTCTAGTTGGAAAGCTCAACACCCTCATGTATGTTCACTGGTCACATGCTGTGGATACACATGGACATTGTGTTTATTATTCCGTCACACACAGCAGGAGGATGCAGTCATCGGTGGGGAATTTAAAAAGAAATGGGCAGCACTCCAGAAGATTCTGGAACAGCAGAAGGAAAAGGGTGGAGTTATTGACCCAGAAGCAGAGTCTAATAGATTCCTAATTCACATTAATGAGGTAAATCCTAGATGGATATTTAAAAAGTGTATACTTTTTGAATAATTTACCAATTATATATAATTTTTATTATAATATATTTATATACAATTATATAATAAGAGCATTGCGTTAGCAGCGCAAAAGATCATGGGTTTGATTCCCAGGGAACACACATACTGGTAAAAAATGTATAGCCTGAATGCACTGTAAGTCGCTTTGGATAAAAGCGTCTGATAAATGCATAAATTAAATTATTAATTAATTATTATTTAATTATTAATTTAATTAATACACACACACATACATACAGTGGTGTGAAAAAGTGTTGGCCCCCTTCCTGATTTCTTATTTTTTTGCATGTTTACATATATATATTTATATATAATGTATAGACCAATTTCAGTGTTTCAAACAGTGATGATGTTTTTTGCGGGCGGAGCCTATCTGGGGGCAGAAAATGACAGTTTTAACATAGCAGTCTATTCAAGCCATGGAATAAAATAATAAAAAATTTAATTTTGAGTTTATATTTCAAAATTCTGACTTTTTTCTTGCACTGCCGAGATTATATCTCACAATTCTCACAAAAGAAAAATCAACTCATCATTCTTTCTTTTTAGTTTATAATCCCACGCTTCTGGCTTTTTAAACTCGCAATTGTTGACTTGAATAAAGTTATAAAGTCTGAACTAGGAGATATAAACTTGCATTAGCAAGAAAGAAAGTCAGAATTGTGAGATAAAATAGGTAAATGTTATAGGTTTAAATAGTATTTTATGAAAGTATTTCAACTGTAGGGCTAATACAATATGTCCCCTATATGAATATTATATAGACCTATTGTTTAAATCAAATTTATGCTTTAAAAGTTGGGTAATCATAGCAGGTTTCATCCATAGTCTGTCCGTTTAAACGTCTGCGTTTAGCTTCAAATGGCATCTTTGACGACAGTGTTATATAAAAATTATTTGCATTCCGATTCTAACATCCATAAATTTTTTCTCTTATTCCATGGATTTTACCCATTTCCCTCCACTTGTTCCCAGTGTCTTTCTGCCACCACTATGCGCGCGCAGCTGCAAGTGACACAACTGTGATGTCTACTCCAAATTGGTCTATAGCCTGAATGCACTGTAAGTCGCTTTGGATAAAAGCGTCTGCTAAATGCATACATTTATTATTTATTTTTATATATATATATATATACAGTGGCGTGAAAAAGTTTTTGCCCCCTTCCTGTTTTTTTAATTGTTTGCATATTTGTCACACTTAAAAGATTCAGATCATCAAACAAATTTTAATATTACACAAAGATAACCTGTGTAAATACAAACTGCAGTTTTGAAATTATGATTTCACTTATTAAGGGAAAAAAGCTGTCCAAACCTGCCTGGCACTACGTGAAAAAGTAATTGCCCCCTAAATCTAATAATTGGTTGTGCCACCCTTTGCAGCAACAACTGCAATCAAGCATTTGCGATAA